GATAGAGTAAAAGGAGAAAAAGGAGGACGAGAGAAGGAGAATTGTTTTTTTTTAGTGAAAGAAGAAGAAGAAAATGAGAAAAGAGGAAATTGAGAGAAGTTTAAAAAAAAAAAAAAAGGAGAAAAAGTGCAGAAACAAAAGTACTTTTGTACTTATTAAACTGATGTGGTCAGCGTTTCATTTTCACATAAATAAAAGAGACGATCAGTCATTTCCAAACCCTGGTCTGTAGGCCCATTTGATGAATCCCCATAATCTGTCGTCACAACACTTGACAAATTAATATAAAGTGCTGGGATATTTTCTCACTGGCCATTTCAATAGATTGTTGTTGTTGCTGCCAGCTTTGTTTTTATTTTTAACCTCCATTCCCTTGTCTTGTTCGACATATTAAATCTGCTGTCACTTTATCAAATTCAAGTGCTGATTCCAGCAAATGCTCTATGATTTTGCATGCAAGGGTCCTCTATCGAAAGGTCTAGGCCTTTAATGAAAACTATGTAAAAGTTAAAGACAGCTCCTTACTAAAATCGCATGTGGTGTGTGCACTGTTGAAAGAATCTCAGTATGCTAATGGGTTTAGGAACTTATGCAGTACAATTTTTCCTACCTTGAAAGTAAAGTGATGGTTCTTTGTTACATATTAGCTGATGAGAGTAAAAAGATAAAGATATTTCATTTTGGCCTCATGGATAAGGTTAGTTTTGGTAGTGATATGATTTTTTAACTGTTTAGTTAAAGTGCAAACTTATTTTACAGTCAAGTTTGATCAGAAAAAAAAATACCTTTTGACAGGTGAAGGGATTTAAATTGTCCCATTTTCCTGTGTACTAAGGGTGCAACACCCCCTACTGGTGTGGTGCCACTCATACTCCATCACCTTTGGTTTAGCTGTTTTCTTTTTCTCTGAAAAATGGTGAAATGGTATGGGTTTAACGCCCCTATCAACACTATTAGGTTATTTAAGTGGGGGGGTCTCCTAGTTTAACGTCCGTCTCCGATAGGACCGAGCCAAGTGGGAAGCTCGTGTGAAGTGCCTTTCCCAAGGACACAACGTCGGACCGAGCTGAGGCTCGAACCCCCAAACCCGCAATCTCACTCTTTTTCTCTGAACTTACTCATGCGTTGTGTTTTGTCCAGTCATAATGGTCCTTCACCTTTTTTTGTGAAGGGGGGTAGGTATTTCGGCAGATGTATGGTTCTTTTGGTAGGCATAGGCATATATATTTCATCTCTATTTCTGTTCTAGGTGGTACAACAGATTCATGAAATTTTAGTTTTCAGTTTAAGACACTTTAAGAGTAAGGCAAAACTTGAATTTTCACTTCTGTCTTGTTTCAGGAAAAAGAAACCGCTCTGCATTGCGCTGCTGTTCGGGGAAATATTGATTGTGTCAGGATTTTGCTAGAAAATCAAGCACCACTGAATGTCACTGACAAGGTGAGTTGTCTAGGTATAGGTAAATGTCATCCTTATTAATGTATGTATATTATGCCGACCAAGTCTTTTATATTTTGTTCTATAACATGTCACTTACAGTTTCAAATTGCCAGACATGCCTTCTAAAATAATCACCATTTAAAAGATGTTCCAATGCTGCTATTTATTCTTTTGTGGTTTTACTCTAGGGAATAGAAATTCAAATGCCTTTATTTTGATGTTCAATGAGACAACCTTTAGTCTTATTTTTCCATAACCATGTTTTGCCGATTCCCTCTTAAAAGCTCAATATCTTGGATTAATTTTAGTTTCAAAGGAAGGAGTTCAAATACTTATAATTTGATGGTCAATGAAAATGCCTTACGTCTTCAGTGTTATTTTTGTTTCTGCAATGTTTTTCAGCTATGCTCTCCAATACTCATTACTCTTCTCATTTGATTGCATTTGTTTACAGCGAGGCAGCACTCCCCTACACCTGGCTTGTCAACGACATAATGCTGCCATAGCTTTGCTCATTTTGAATGCTGGATGTAAACTGGATATTATTGACAAGGTAGGACAAGAAATTATGCCCTATTTTAGCATCAAGCAAGTCTTGAATTGTTTATACAGTATACATACATATACCTGGGAGGAAGTGGAGAGGGGCAGGATAAAAAAGATGAGGGGGGGTGGGAGAAAAAAGGGGGTAGGGTGAGAGTAGAGGAAGGGGGCAGAAGGAGAAAGAAAAAGGGGTAGGGGTCGAAGAAGAGAAAGGGAGAAGAAGGAGAAAAAAGGGGGTAGGGTGGGAGTAAAGGCGAACAAAAAAAGGTAGTAGAGGTGTGAGTGGTAGGAGAAAAAAAAGTCGCGGGGTGGGTGGGAAGGGGGAGAAGGAGATGGGTATACATTTCTTTACCGTAAAACATTTATTGTAATCATAAATAACAAAGCTTTTTAGCTGGGGCGCAAATCGTATATAATTTA